GAGGGCAGGAAGGAAGTAGGAGGGCATCACAGTGACAGGAGCCATCTACTTTTCAGCTGTGTGATAAATATATGGATATTTGGTTTACTGTTCTTTAAAATATTTAGACATATTATTTTGTTTATGTGGTATATTTCATGGTTTTCAACAGTTAATGATGTGAGTATTCTAAGCAAAGAGGCTGAAATCTTCCATTTAAAAAGAAAACCAAGGGCAGTGGTTGTAGCTCAGTGGTAGAGCGCTAGCCTGGCACGTGTGAGGCACTGGGTTTAATCCTTAACACCACATAAAAATACATTAATTGATTAAGTAAAGGTAGAAAAATACAATAATATTAAAAATAAATAACATTTAAAAATAAATAAAAAAGTAAACCAAGGTTGCTTTGCTTTACCAGCTCCTGGTGGGGTGGCTTTCCTGGGGGCTGCCCCATCACTGTGTGCATCCCCCCAGATTCAGATTCAGTGCAGTTTCTGAAGACCAGGCTGGCTGAGTTCCTGGGACCTGTGGGGCTTCTTGGAAACAGGAATATTTGTTTCCCCAGCTAAAGTGATCCAACAGCTCCAAGTTGGAAGGGCAACTTCAGGGTTTCCGCACCAGACTCCTGATAGATGAGAAGGCATAAGAGGAGGTGGGCAGGGATGCTGGCTGACATCACAGGTGCACAGAGGCCTCCTGCAGTGTAGGCCACTGAAATGACCCAGCATGCTGTCCCTCAGCTGCTGGATAGGCCAGGGAGGCCTGTAAGCTGTCAGACCTCACTTAAGGCAAGCCCTTGGCAGGCTGGTGGGAGAGGGAGAAGCTGCCCTGTGTGAACACTTATCTACCCTTTGGCTGCCATTGCTGTTGGAGCTTTGGTCATTGGCCTTCTCTGCCTGGAGGAGAACAGATGAAAGGACAGCCATCACATGGATCGGTGGTGTTTTGTTTGTTTATTTGTTTGTTTTTCATTTGGAGCCACTTCATATATTTACTTTGCAAATGCACTTTTTTTTCCTTAGGCAAAAATATGAGTGTCAGTTTTGATCCCCAATTTAAAAATCAAAATAAATCCATAGTCTTAGCAAGGATCCCTGGAGAAAGGGCTCCAAACTCACATAAAACTGACATTGATTTCTTTGCCTGGAAATAAAAATGAACTATTGTCTGTGAGTCATCTTTGGATTTGCATTAAAACAAGAATGCAAATAGAGCTGCAGTCTCATAACCTACAGATCTCAAAATATGTCGAGTTCATGCATTTCAAGAAAAATGTGCAGTTTACAAAATCCTGAAGTTTTCTAGTTAAGTATTCAGAGTTTAAGTTTTTGCTTGTGTTTATGACTCATTTTCTCTTTTGTTTTCTGTTTTTGTTCTTGATTTACCTTAACCTACCTGCTGACTCACGCCACCCAACCAACATACAATGCGAAAACCCATGTCTCCGTCTGTATGTTGCGCGCCTGCTGCTCAAACCACCCCAATTTGTAAATAATACGCAAATACCCATCCATGAAAACATCACATATAGGAAACGGTTGGTTTGTGACTTTAAAACAGTTTTACGAGTCCTCGCTCTGCCTGCTCTTCTTTTCTCTCTGTTTCTGGGGCTCCTACCTGCTGCCCTCTGAGGTGTGAGCTGGATTCTGCTGTATTCTCACCTCTGGCCTCCCATGCACTCTCCCCTACCCCTGGGGTCCAGCAGGGGCTTCAGAGGGCCTCCAGGAGCTGTTGGAATCTGGGCCCTTGCCAAGGAGGGGAAGTGGAACTTTCTGGGATGGGGGGTAAGTGCCCAGGGCAGAAGTTCCTGCTGAGACTGGCATGACTCAGGAGGTTTTGCCTGACGAGGTTGGCCCTGGTCCCTGGGAGTCTGTGGTTTCTGTTGCACTCTCACCTCCTCTCTTCAGTGTCCCTATCATGCCAACACACAGCATAGGTTTGGTTTGCCCAGGTGGCCTTGGTGAAGTCCCCTGTTGCTTCTGTCCTTCCTAGATAAGCCCTTCCGTAGGGAGTTGGGCCAGGAGCACTGGGCTCGTGGGAAGTTTGGAGATTTGGACTCTGAATCAGAGAGGGTCATGTGGGGCCTGAGTAGGAGGGTCTCTGTCCCAGCAGACAGAGGGGCTCAGGGATCCCTACTCTACATCATCACTGGAGTGTGTGCACACTGTTGGCCAAGCTCTTGCGGTATACAGGTGCAACTGAGGCCTCCCTCCAGGTCTTCAGAAGGTTTTTTTTTTAAAAAAAATATTTTTTGTTGTAGGTGGACATGACATCTTCATTTTATTTATTTTTTTATGTGACGCAGAGGATCAAACCCAGTGCCTCACACATGCTAGGCAAGCACTCTACCACTGAGCTACAGCCCCAGCTCTCTTCAGTGGTTTTGAGAGAATAAGGGTGTTTGGTAGCAATTAGCTTTAGCTGTGGCCGTGAAAATTCATCCAAAGGAGCAGATCTTTGAGGTTTCTGTGCAGAAACTGAATGTTGCACAGGGTTTTACATCTAAAGTGGAAAGCTTGCGTGTTGAGAAAATGGCATTGAATGCTGCGGAAATGCCTAGCCACATCCTCTGCACAGCCTCCAGCTCAGGCCAGGCAGTGGCCACCTGTCTCTCTCCTCCTTGTCCTGGCCTTCATGACTGGTGGACATGGGGAGTGTGTGTATGTGCACATTTCCTCTCCTTTGTACAATCAGCCCACGTTAGTGGAACTAAGAGAGCAGTCTGGTTATGATAGCAGGACCTCATCCTGTGGTGTGGTGTGTGGTCATCAGGCATCCATGGGTCTGACTGAATTCCCTGGAGGCCTTCAGGAGTAAGGCCTCCCTCTCTTGTGACTGGCTAGAAGCATGGTGGCCTTGGATGTAGATGCTAGTCGTGGCTGGGTCAGCCAGGTTGGCTTTGTGGGACAGTGTCCTTACAAAGCTCACTATACTTCTGAATTTCTTTCCTCAGTTGTCCCTTGCCACCTGGGCATTGATGTCCCTAGTGTTGCCAGGTTGTGGGCAAGGAGACTGAGATGGAAGGGCGAGACCAGTGTTCCCTCGTCTTACTGTGGGTGCACAGGCTGAGTGAGGTTGCAAAAAGGGTAGCTTCCAAGTGGGCATAGCATTTCTTGTGCAGCAGAAACCATGGGTCTTGGGAGGAAGGGCAGGCCATGTCTAACTTCAGGGCGGCTGAGGCCAGAGGTGGCAGTGCACGGCACACAGCCCTGTCTTGCTGTCCCGCTGTCCTGCATGCAGTTAGCATGGCGGTCCCCAGCCCATCACTCTGCTTGGGCATCTGTGACTGTTATCATCTGTCTTCACAACTCTCCAGGGCTGCCTGTCTGTCTGCACTCACCCTCCCCCAGCACTTGCAGGAGCCCAGAGAGAAGTCTAGGAGCAGGGATGGAGAACTGGTCTCCACTACAGCAGCTGAGTGGGGCTGAGTGTCACTGGCCCTTTGTCTGCCCTCTCATATTCTGCCCCTTCTTTGTTACCAGGAGTCTGTATTTCTCCCACATTTTCAGGAATTCTCCTGAGTGCCACTGCCCAGCCACAGATTGCTTTGAGCTGGACAGGCCTTGCATTGTTAAGATCCTTGCTTCTCCAGACCTATTTGAGTAGGGGGTTTCAAAAGGATCCCCCACTGGTGACTGTCTATGTCCTTGGGGTCTGAAGTGGTCAGTGGGCAGTTATTTCCATTGTGTGTACCACTGAGATTCTCTCTCCTCAGCCTGAATTGGTGGGGAGCTGCAGGCTTAGCTGTGCACCCCGCAGGGCATGCCTCAAGTCCCACTCCCACCCTCTTGCTGATGTGGACAAGGTCCACATCACCCTTCTGCCCACTGATCCCACCTTTAGGATTCAGCATTCTGCCTGAGGGCCAGAACCTCCCGTGACTGTCTGTTTCCAGCCTGCAGAGAAACTCAGAGATCCTGGCACCCTGGTGGGAGCCACAGGCAAGGCAGAAGTGTCCCTTGAGAGTGGGTCCCTGGAAGTAAGTGTGAGCCCATCCCTCCACCTCCCTTGTTGTGATAGGCAGCCCTTGAGTGCTGCCAGGCTTTCCCTGTTTCTGCGTTTGCATGTGCTCTCCTGCTGCTGCTGTCTCATTCAACATCTGTGTTCTCTTTTCTCTTTATTTGATGACTGAATCTTGACAACACAAATGTGTCTGAGCCTGAGCTGCTTGTATATTTAAAAATACCAAAGTGTCAGGAAGCTGCTCTCAGGCCATGTGCAGGTACCTTGTCCCCAAGTAGACAGACATACAGTGCCTGGCTCTACAGGAACCCCCACCTATGCACGGACACCTCCCCAGAGCCACCCTCTTCTGAAAAGGCTTGCCAATAGTCCAGGGTGTCTGGGGCCGGGGATTCCTCACTCCCAGGTAAACTTTGGAGTCTGGGGTTGATCGGTTTGTCTCTGTGGTTAGTTTTGAGCCCTTGGGTGAGGGCGCAGTACCAAGTGTCCTGGTTCTCGGCAGCAGAGACCTGGGGTGAGAGCAGCAGAGTGACTGCACCTGTCCCTTTCGTAAGTGTCAGCAGCTCCTGGAGCAGTCCCCGCAGAGCCCGGTGGGTCCCAGTAGAAATGGCTGGGCTGGTAGGGAGGAGCGCGGCCACTAAGCCCAGGCGGGGGGTCCCTTCAGGGGTGCCCACTGGAGAACCATCATGCCCAGCACCTGGACAGCTTGGCTGGCTGTTCCCATGAGAGGTGGTCACTGCTGGAGTCCCACAGGTGATCCTACCCCACCTGGCAGCAAGGAGCCACTTTGGAGAGCTCCTTCTCTGTGTCTCCCTGTCGGGGTGGCCCTAGAATAGGGGATATCTCTGATTTGCTGCATGAAGCGTGACTTGCAACAATAAGCTTTCCTTTTGGAAGGTTTTCTGGTGGCCATTACTGCTTAGACTGAGTAGTGACTTTATTTCAATTTCTTTTTAACCACTTTGGGGCCACAGGGACTTGTGGAGAGGTTGTGGGGTGTAGGTTGCCCTTTTGGGGGGCGATTTCCAAAGATGAGAGGGCATCCCTCTTCTCTACAGAACAACTTCATCAACCTCAGCTTCCTTCGCCTCTTCAGAGCTGCACGGCTCGTCAAGCTGCTGCGCCAGGGCTACACCATCCGCATCCTGCTGTGGACCTTCGTCCAGTCCTTCAAGGTGAAGCAGGCACCAGAGGCAGGGCAGGGCAAGGCAGGGCAGGGCAGGGCAGCTCCCTCCAGGGCTGTCATCTTCCTCCTCTGTCATGATTCCCTGACCCCCAGAGTTCCCCCCTTCTTTGGAAGGGTGTGTGCACCATTGTCCTTTTGCAGTTTATAATACAGTTTGAGTGACCACAGGTTATCTCCTCAGTGCCCACAAAACCAATGAGATCGGTTTTATGACCCCAGTTTATAGATGGAGAAACAGGGCCTGTCACTTGGAGGGTGGGCCTGGAGCTGGGCTAGGCTGAGGTCTGTGTGGCTGTGGAAAGGTAGAGGACCTGACCTGCCCATGTGTCTGCAGGCGCTGCCCTATGTGTGCCTCCTCATTGCCATGCTGTTCTTCATCTACGCCATCATCGGCATGCAGGTGGGTGCTGCTTGCCCTGACAGGGCTGGATGCAGAGCTCTCGTCCACTCGGGCCACTGGGAATGTGTTGTGGTCCTTAAATGTAACAGTAATAAACTGACACATAGTGAGCCTCTGCTGTGAGTCAGACACTGGTGTGAGGAGTGAGACAGCTGTTTTCAGACACTGTTGCTTGGAGGGTGTCCAGGCACTCCCAGGAGGGGCAGTCTAGCCGTCCATCCACTCCTTTCTCTCTGGGAAAGTGCACTGCCATGTTTCTGAGGTCTGAGTGGCCTTCAGGTACAACTGGGGCATTGGAGACATCTGTATGGTGTGGAGTGGCTGCTGGCCAGTCTGAAGGTGCCCCTTCCACTCCTTAGTGGAGATCACATGCTCCTGAGGAGCCTCAGATCAGGTCCTCAATGAGCTCAGTCTGTGTGGTTTAAGTTGTTTGATTTCCTAAGAATACTTTGTCAGTTATTTGGGGAAAAAAATACTTAAATATGTAAAGCAGTGTCCTGCTATAACCCATGGTCATCTGGCCCCTCCCAGCAGTGGGGAGGAGAATGGACTGAGTGTAAAGTTAGTATGGGAGGTGCCAGTATCCAAATCTTTAATTCACAGGCTGAAATGTTCTCTTGATTTAGAGTTTTCTGAGATTTGATGTTTTTTTTTAAAGCAAACACACCTACACACACACACACACACACACACACACACACACTTGCTTTAGTTTTTGGATGTATAAGAACATGCATGTTACTGATCTTTGTGGAAATGTAATAGTTTATTAATTTTCAGCCAAATTTTAAGCTGAAGATGGTTCTTGATTCATTTGCATTCTTACCCTGAAAAAAATCAGTTATAATAGATAAAAATCCCATTGCACCATTTGCACAAATGTTTTAAAACAATTTTTCCAGTGATATAGCTGTGTGTACACATACCTATGATTCCACTACTCAGGAGGCTAAAGCAGGAGGATCACAAGTTTGAGACAACTTAGTGAGACCCTGTCTCAAAATAAAAATTAAAAAGGGCTAAGGGAGTAGCTCAGTGGTAGAGCACTCCTGGTTCAATCCCCAGTATTGAAAAAAGAAAAAAAAAAAAAGGAATATTTCCAGTGATTTCTCAGAGCTTTTGCCAGTATGATAGTATAATTCCTGCTTTGGAACTGTTAATAAGTGAGCTTTCTGTCTTGTGCATAGCAGATCTGGGCCCCATTCCCATTCATCAGACTTGCAACTAGAAACAGGCTCAGAGCTCCTGGAGCCTGGCTCACGCTGAGCCATGGAACTAGGGTGTGATCAACTGTCTCATGTGGGGTCCCCCAGATTGCACGCATTCCCTCTCTTGCCTGGTCTACCCACTGTGGCTCTGGGAATCCTGCAGCATCAACATGCTGCTAATTCTCCATTTTAGGTGTTTGGAAACATTGCCTTGGACGACGACACCAGCATCAACCGGCACAATAACTTCCGCACATTCTTACAAGCCCTGATGCTGTTGTTCAGGTATGTTGGGTGGTCACATTGATGTCCACTCTGCTCAGGATGGAGGAGGGTGGGTCTCACCATGGGGACCACTCTCTTCTAACCCTCAAATCATGCTGCTTTTCCTTAGAGGACTTTTCCAGTCCTTCCCTCTCTGCTCATCCAGAGGCTCTTGAAGTCTGCCCTGGCCTCAGGACAGACTGGTAAGAAGCCCCTAAGGGAGGAACCTGGGAGCTCTGAGCCAGGCCTGCCTGCCTTGTCCTTGCTGTGTGGTTGGCAGCCAGAAGGCTCCCAGGAGGCTGCACCCTATTAGGACAGGGAACGCCTGCAGGGTTGTGCAGTGAGCTGGCCCCAGCTTCCACAGCTAGAAGCAGTATTGGTGATGGGATGGGTGAGAAAGGGAGAGGCAGGTGCAGAGGGGGAGACTGCTGCTGCTCATGGCCCAAGGAGCTCTGCTGGCCAGAACTTCTGGTCTTGACACACCTCCCTTACGCCAAAGAGTGAGCAAGAGTAAAAAGGTGGAATGTGGGAGCATGGAGGTGGAACCTGGAGACCCTGGGAACAAGCTTTGGGCCTGCACAGGCCTCTTTGGCAGGGGTGTGTTCAGAAGCAGCTCAAGCCCAGATGCTGTCCTGGGCTGTGGAGCACTCTCTATGACTGGGCCCTGGCTGTCCTGGTCTGGGTGTAGACTTGAGGGCTGGGGGAAGGGTGAATGTGTTTCACTGCCTCCTGCGTCTCCCTCATTTTTCCAGGACAGGAAAGGAACTCTTTAGGGACTTATGGGATGGGTGCTGACATCAGACCTTCCAGAGAGCTCCTTCATGCAGAGACAGGGCTGCTTCAGGGCCCCTGTTTGCTGCACTTCCTGGGGAACATTCTGGCTCTTGTTTCTTGCATAAGATAGACAGGCATCCTCAGGCTCATGCTTTCTCAGATCATATTGATTCTCCGAACTTCGGCAGTTACATTAAATTTATTTCTTCATTTATTATTGCTCTTCCCCATGCCACAAAGATTTGAGGCCACCCTCTGAGTCTGCCTTAGGCCTATGTTTTCCAAGATTTCTGTTTCCCTGAACTTTGCATCACAAGGGGGTGCTTCCATCACTTGGATTGGCATAGGCCCGTTGACTATAGGAAACCCCCACTGCTGGCATCATTGGTGGGCACTGGTGCTGGCTGTGTGTTCTGCAGAGTCCCAAGTGGCTGCTCAGGGCAGGGTGTCCTCCAGGGATTCTGGGCACAGAGAGTGGTGTGCAAGTGGACTGAGGAGGGCTGAGGGCTGAGGGTGGGAGAAGATCAGGTTTCAGGTCCCCGGGGCTGAGCTCAGCTATGTGGGTTTGGTCTTCATGAGGAGTGAGGGAGCATGGGAAGGTCTGAAAGAAGTGACAACTTCAGGCCTGCCCCTTGTGGCCCCGCATGGCACCTGGAAGGGTGCTGCTGTGAGGCACCAGGTGAAAACAGAGCTGCTCTTTCTGAAGGGGCCTGAGCTGATGGATAGGATATGAAGGGAGGAGGCAGGGATGATGCAGTTGCTTTGGCCTGAGTGGCTGGAAAGGTAGCCCTTCTAGAAGCTGCTGCTTCTAGAAACAAGGGTACGCATAGCCTGTGTTTGGGAGGAGACTATGTTGTGTCCTCCAAGGAGTGCCCATAGTGCACTGGATTACTCTCCTCGACTGATGACCAGTTCGGAAACATAATGGCAAAGGCTCCATGTACAGGGGCCCAGCTCTCCTGAGGACTTGGCCCCCACCTTTTGGGCTGGCCAGAGCTCTGGTGTCACTGGAGGTTTGCCCTCCAGGCCTCCTATTATGGACTCACAGCTCTGTTCTTCTTTTCAGGAGTGCCACGGGGGAGGCCTGGCATGAAATCATGCTGTCTTGTCTGAGCAACCGGGCCTGTGACCCAGATGCCAATGCCAGTGAGTGTGGGAGTGACTTTGCCTACTTCTACTTCGTGTCCTTCATCTTCCTTTGCTCCTTCCTGGTGAGTCCTGATCACTGTGCCCATGTCTGTCTGCTCAGGCTAGCTCAGGGTCCTGCATCTCCTGTTGATCACTGACTTTGACCCATGCCACATTGTAAGCTGATGCGGTGGTGAGGCCTTTGCTCCTTGAGAGCAACAGCCTCTTCAGCCTAGAAAGGACCCACTTGAAGACAAGCTCTAGTGGCCCTGCCTGACTTCCATGAAAGGGTTGCATTTCAGGGGCAGCTGCCCCTCAGTGTCCAGGTCTTGGAAGGTTCACTGTAGTGGTGGGAGGTGAAGAAGCAGCCCCTCAGCCAGCATGCCTGGTGCAATGAGCCAGGTGGGAGAAATGGCAGGCTGGTCTAAGGAGGGTGGATCTTACTCCAGGCTTGCGGAAGCCTTGAAGCAAGAGTGCAACAAGGTCTACTTCCTGTTCTGCAGCTTGGCTTCTGTGTGGATGTGAGGAGGGGGCTCTAGTGTGAACATGGAGGTGAGTGGGCTGAAGTGACCTAGAGAAGGGCATGAGGGACTAGCTCAAAATGGGTGCTGCTACATTTTAAGGCAGAGTTGTCCAGATCGAAAAAGAGATTAGAAAGCTACACCCTGGGATTCCCTGGTGATGGGTGAGGGGCTGCCCCTCTAAGATAAAGTGTGGAGAGCTGCAGGTATGACCTCTGGGCTGGAGAATGGAAGGAGTTACCATCAATTTTCGGGGTATCTGTGTGAGTGGAGGATGCTCTGCGGGTCCCACTTTAGTGCAGCCCAGCAATCTATGTGTGGCTTAAGCATCACTTGAATGCTTTTTTAAAGAGCAGATTCCCAGGGGCCCCAGACTTACTGTATCAGGATCTCTGGAAGAGGAATCCAGGAATCTTGAGTTTAAACAAACTCTTGGTGCTGAATTTTGAGCAGTCAGGAGTGCTAGATGCCACAGTCTGGTTGGGCACAATTCACAAGCCACTTGTCAAGCAGAAACGAACTTTACTTTTAGAACACACATGCTGCACCACATGAGCTCTTCAGGAATTCCCTCAGAGCCCAACTGCCACTTCTGGTGAGCCTCTCAACCCCCCCACTCCTCCCGCTCTTGAGGCTGATTGGCTGGGTCGCATGGGTGGAGCCAAAAGAATCCCCTAATGAGCAGCTCCGTGGTCTGAAGGGGCCGGGAAACAGCCCAATGAGCATCACCGCAGAGGAGCCAATCAGCTGGAAGTTTGCTGGGTGGGGCCACTTGGGCTGTGGCTCTCAACAGCTAGATCCAGGGGCTGAGGAGCTGTCAGTGAGGCAGGTGGAGAGCCCAGAGAGAGCAGCACCCCAGAGGCCCAAGGAAGAAAGTGTCTCTTGAGGGAGAATAGCCCATCCCACAAAGTGCTGTTGGAAAGTAAAGTGAGAGAAGGACTAAGAAAAAATGGCAGAGGCCACTGGTGACTCTTGCGAGGGCAGTTTGTATAGGCATGGAGAGGAACAAAACCCTTTTGGTGGATTTGCGTAAAAATGGAGGTGAGGGGCATAGAAGGAACAGCAACTCTTCCCAGCAGCAGATGGTGCCAGGAAGCGTCAGATCTGCGGCCATAGCCTGTGAGCAGGGCTAATGTGACCTGTGCTTTCCTCAACCATGTCCACTCCTTAGAGCCTTAAGTAGAGAATTGAATTTTCCAGATTCAGGCTTTCCAAGACAAGTATAAGGAGGAGAGAAGGGTACATATGAGTCACAGAGCTGAATGTGGTCAAAGCTGGGGACAGGAAGGTGAGGGCAGGAACCTAGATTAGAGGTTTTCATGTGGACAAAGCAGCCTTGGGATGCAGATGTCAGAGCAAGTGAGCTGGAATGACATGGGGCATGTGAAGCCAAGACAGGGGGGCGGGGGCAGTGATGGTGCCCTTGTTGATAGTCCTTGGTAATGACCAAGCTGGGTATCCACATATAAAATTATGAAGTAGGACCCCTACTTCACTCCATATACAAAGTTAACTCAGTTGATCAAAGAAGTAAATAGAAGAGCTGAAACAATGACAGTACTTAATAGGAGATCAGTCTTAAAGACTTCAGAATTGACAATGGATTCTTAGATTTGACATCAAAATCATGAGAAAAAAAGAAAACAGATTATTTATTTATGCTTATTGGAAGAAAATATTTGCAAATCACAATCTGATAAGGGGTCAATATTCAGCACATATAAAGAACTCTTATAGCTCAACAACAAAAAGACAAAACAGAAAATTTAAAAATGGGCAAAGAAGATATACAAATGACCAGAAGTCACATGAAGAGAAGGTCAACATTTCTGGTTATAAAGGAAACAAATCAGAACCCAAATGAGATACTACTTCACACCCACTATGATAGCTATAATAATATGTTTAAAAAAACCCAGAAGAGGGCTGGGGATGCCTGGCATGCGTGCAGCCTGGGTTCGATCCTCAGCACCACATACCAACAAAGATGTTGTGTCCGCCGAGAACTAAAAAATAAATATTAAAAAAAAATTCTCAAAAAAAAAAAACCCAGAAGAATAACAAGTGTCAGCAGGATATAGCAGCTGTGGAAAAGTCTGGCAATTCACCAAAAAATGAAGCTTAAAATTGCCATGTGACCCAGTGATTCCACTCCTAGGCATATAACCAAGATAAATGAAAAGGTATGCCCACACAGGGGGCTGGGGTTGTGGCTCAGTGGTAGAGCGCTTGCTCACCTAGCACTTGCGAGGCCCTGGGTTCAATCCTCAGCACCACATATAAATAAATAAATAAAATAAAGGTATTGTGTCCAACTACAACCAAAAAAATAAATATTAAAAAAAGGTATGCCCACAGAGAAACTTATATATGAGTGTTTACAGCAAGATTGATCATGTTAGACACAAATGTCCATCAGTGGATGGAGGAATGTGGTATATGCCTATAATGGACTGTTCTTTGGCTATAAAATTAAATGATGTACTGATACATGCTACTATATGAATGAACATCAAAAATATCACATTGATAAAAAGAAGACAGATGTTGTCGGGGTTTTTATCCCCCCATTCCCTCCTGACCTGTGGGAGAGATTGGGGGAGCACGCCCCGACCAGGACGGGCCAAGAAAGGTAAAGGTCGACTGGCCACCCACACCCAGCCCTGTCTCCAGAGGACAATGAGCCGCGCCAGGGAGAACAGTCAAAGCAGGATCTCATCTATTGAGAAAACACACACAGTTAATATAATGTACAGGAGCCAATGGGGTAAAGGTCAGCAGGGTGGGGAGAATTTACATCTACACCCATCCTACAGGCAGTAATGTCCGTGAGGGCAGAGGGGTTCTGAGCCTATCCTAGAGGTGGTCCGATTCTTCATCACAACCCACGGCAATGCCTTCTGGCTCATCGCTAGGTGCTCTCTTAGCAGGTGGCCCCAGGACTGGGAAGCGGGTAGCAGCCAGCAAGTTAAGTTTCCTCTTTTCTGATGCAACATGCCCTACACATGTAAAAGCTCACATGTTCAGTTTCTCCATGGCTTGAATTCTAGCAACAGTGAAGTGGGTGGCAGTGGCAACTCACTGAACTTCAGTGTTGGAAAGTCAGAGACTCCTAGAGACCCAGAAATGGGTACTTTGGACAGAGGAGAGGAAAGAATACCTTGGATCCAGGTCTGTGGCAGCTCTGGTTCACTACAGAGGGGAGGGAGAACACAGAGAAACACAATGGAAAAATTTCTCATGGAAAATCTGTAAAACAGAAAAGCAGTATGAACTTAGCTGAACCAGAGCCTGCTCAGGGAGTGGGTATTTGAAAACTCCTCCATGTTTCCTGACTGGTGAACAGAGAGCTGAGGTGGGGCCATCTTGAGGAGGTCACACTGGAACTTATTGGGGCAACCTGGGAGATCATAGCAAATATTGCCTTGCTGTCTTGGCGAGCACCTACCACGTAGTTTAGGGCAGCTCTAGCAGAATGTGATTGAAACAGGTACAGAGGAGATTGTGCCCAAGTGGAATACGGATGGGAGTGTAACTTGCTTTCTTTTTGAGCCGGTGGCTCAGGTGACCAGCTGAAGAAGGTTAGAGAAGTGAACAGGTGAGTGCCATTCACTCAGAGACTGAGCCTGAGAAGGCAGCATTCAGGAGTGGTGGGGTGTGCAAGGCCTGTGGATCAGTGGCTACTCTGCCCATGAGTAGAATTCTCAGGAAGCTCCTGAGTTTCAGATGCTGAGCAGAGACTGGAACCTGCCTGTTCCTAGTAGTGTGCAGATCTAATCTCTCCAATGCAGACACCACTCAACAAAGTCTCAGACGTCTGATCAGAGCTAATCTCCCCGCACCAGAACTCCCCACGTAGAACTCTGTTGCAGCCCACCCCCAGGAGTGCGTCCGTCTGTCTTCCACACAGAACTCCAATGATAGTACTTTGCACTCTGTCCTACCTTGCACTGGTGAGAAGGGAAGCTGAGAACTTCTCAGCCTGCTTCAGGCTTAGGCCGCTCCAGCTGGCAGCTCTGTGAGCAACACCAAAGGAGGAAGGGGCCAACAACCCAGCCCTTGCATGCGCTACCCTCCCCCCACCCCCCCTCTTCCATCTGTCTGTCTGTCCCCCTCACCCCCAGTACTTGGACCAAGAAGAAATGGAAAGAAAGATAGTTGGGCATAACCAGGGACCATCCATCCCTGTGGACAGCTTTGACAATCTTAGTGAAGAGTCCTTTCATTTTTCATTAGGAGTCTTTTTTCCTTCCTCTGCTGGGAGTGGTGGTGGTGGTGCTGGTGCTGGTGCTGGTGTTCTTTCCATGCTGATTGGTTTGTGGATGTGCACATATACATCTTTGTTCCTATTTTCTCAGTTTTTACTCTTTTAAAACTTAATTTTGTTCTTTGAGGCTTAGGCTTTTTTGTTTGTTTTGTTCTTTTTTTGGTTTTTCTTTTTACTCTTTTTCTCCTTCTCCCTCTAACAGCCAGATTATCTTGGTTTTTCCTTACTTCTCTATATTTCCTTCTTCTTTAAAGCTATTACTTACTATGTATCTTCTATTTTATCTGTTCGCATT